GTCTATATGTTTTGTATACTGCGTATACTCCTAGGAAGGCACAACTAATAACTTCAACGTTCGCCGACGATACCGCTCTTATTCTTAGTCCAACGCAACGCAAGCAACAACCAAACTGCATAATCATCTTATAGTAGTGGAAAGCTGGCTGTCCGACTGGCGCATTAAAATAAACGAACAAAAGTGTATACGTTACAAAAAGTATAACGTTTACTCTTAATAGACAAAGATGCATGCCCTCCGCTTTCACTGAACGGTATGCAGATCCCTCAAGCTATCTAAGTAACGTACCTTGGGGTCCACCTTGATAGACAACTTACTTGGCGTAAGCACGTCGAATGCAAGAAGATGCACCTAAAACTGAAAGCCAGCAGCCTCCACTGGATCATAAACTCACGATCGCCACTGTACCTGGACTACAAGTTACTACTGTACAATTCAGTCCTAAAGCCAATCTGGACGTATGGCTCGCAGCTGTGGGGGAACGCGAGCAGCAGCAACATAGACATCATACAGCGCGCACAATCAAAAATCTGGAGAACTATCACTGGGACACCTAGTTGGCAACAAAAACATCCACCGGGATCTGGCCATCCTCGCAGTGAAAGACGGAATCCAGAAGCAAATAGAGAACTACAAAGAAAAACTCTCCTCGCACGCAAATTTCTTCGCTCGGGGGAAATTGACTACGGTTTCCAGCAGATCCCGCCGGCGACGCAACGACCTCCCAACCCAGCAATCGACCCAGCTAACAGATTCCCAATAAAGGTTTCGAGGTTGCCTCCTTAAAATATGAATTTCTTTCAAAGTGCACTTTGTAAAGTATTCCTTAGCAGTGGCGCCATCTTTGGAAATTTCTGGTATGCATCATTAAAAATTGGTCTATTGTGAATGATGTGCAGTAAAAATTATTTAAATTATTTTACTTAAAAATATGATTTTTGGCCAGAAAAAAGCGGAAAATTTCCCATAGTGAAATACATAGGGTCGGTAATTCTGCCGCAGCGCTGCCGGCGCACTGCCAGTGTGAGCACGCTGAAATTTTTTTAGAAACTCTCTCATTTGCTCTAATTTTGCCTCACTTGACAAACCAAATTAAAAAAAAAAAACAAGAAAGAAAAGCTAACTTCGGGCAGATCGGAAGTTGATATTCCCTTGAAACTAAAACCGGATATATATCGATAAAATCGGATATAGTTGGCGATCCTTATGAGAATATCATAATCTAACCCAATTTATTATAATACAAAATATAAAAAAAAATACCAAACTTCTATCTTCAAGAATACCAAAGGTTGTATTTTTACGAAATACCATTTCCCATCGTTCAGTTATAATGCAATTATAAGATATAGTCGGAAGGTCGTTACGACCTCGTTATGGTAGGTCGTTTTTGGTGAGTCGGATCAACTGACTAAATATAAAATGTGTTCAAAGCTCCAACATTCTGTCTTCAAAAACACGAAAGTTATACCATTTCCAATCAATCAGTTATATGGCAACCGATATAGATATAGTCGGCCGATCCCGTTCCGATTTATATTCTGCGTGCATAAGAAAGAAAGGTGTGTGCTAAGTTTTAAGTGATAGCTTTAAAACTGACAGACTAGTTCGCGTAGAAACAGACAGACAGACGGACATTCTCATATCAACTCAGGAGGTTATCCTGATCAAGAACATATATATAATTTATAGATGTCGAAGATGTCTCCTTCACTGCGTTTTACACTTTTGGACAAAATTATAATACCCTCTGCAAGGGTATAAAAAAGTCTCAAGCTTCTATCTTCAAAAATACCAAAGTTGGTATTTCTACCAAATTCTATTTCCGATCGTTCAGTTATATGGCAGCTATAAAATATAGTCGGTGGGTCGTTATGAAGTTTGGTAAGTCGAATCAACTGACTAAATATAGAATATGTTCGAACCTCCAACTTTCTGTCTTTAAAAACACGAAAGTTATATCATTTCCGATCAATCAGTTATATGGAAACTATAGGATATAGTTGCCCGATTCCGTTCCGAATTATATTCTGCGTGCAAAAGAACGAAGGGTGTGGGCAAAGTTTCAAATCAATAGCTTTAAAACTGACAGACTAGTTCGCGTAGAAACAGAAAGACAGACGGACATGCTCATATCAACTCAGGAGGTGATCCTGATCAAGAATATATGTATATACTTTATAGATGTCGAAGATGTCTCCTTCACTGCGTTTCACACTTTTGGACAAAATTATAATACCCTCAGCAACGGTATAAAAAGCATTTTTCTTTTGCCCACTTGATCTTTTAAATTAACGAAAAACGAAATTAACGAAAGTTTGACAAGTGTGCTAAACTTGTGGCCACTAATGTATGTACATATGTACATATATTTATTAAACGGCATTTGCCGCTTGTATGTATTATGTTATTATTTATTTATTGTTTATTTAATTATTTATTTAAATATATTAAAAAATATTTTTGTTGAGGAGTTGATCGTCCAATATAACATATACGGAGTTAGTGAGAAAAAAAAATTGAAGGCGTTTTCAAATTTTTATGGAGTTTTGATCGGTATGTATTTTAATTACAAATAATGTAAGCAATATCTAATTTCTATTAATTTTATTTACAGATACAGATTATTTACAGATACAGATTACAGATTACAGATATCTAACGTGGCTCCGGGGAACTCGCCGGAGAAAGATTTGAGACACGCTCTGACATGTATTAAAAATAATGACAAAAAAAAAAAAATAAATAAACAATAAATGTAAAATATTATAAAATATAATAAAATATAATAAAAATGTAACAAACAAATGTAAGAATGACTAATTTATTTATTTAATTCTTTTTTATTGAAAGGAAAGGTGGGGGTGAAAATCCTTACAGTAAGATGCCTCAGTGAATACCCCAGAGATTTCCAGGGGTATTTACTTCGTAATTCTTTTCGAATTACTGCAGGAATCCTGCAGAATTCCCTGAGAATTCCTTGGGGAGGTCGAATTCCTCGATGCGAGAAACTCTTCTATGGAAATTCCACCGACACAGCGCGCGGAGATATTTTACGGTTGAAACAACATATTTAACTCCGCAGGAAGTTATGCCGATATTGGACCGGGGGAGATATGTCGCTATGCCATACAATTGTTCGTTTTGTCCAGTCACAGTTTAAGGTTTGGCAAGTACTTTTTAAGAAACGGTTTTACTCACAACCTTATTTGTATTGTATCATAAAATGCATTATCGCATGATGCACAGGTTTGTTTTTAAGTGTCGATCGATTTAAAAGCATTAGTAAGCTTAGAATCATGTGGGCAAAACTAGACCACCCTGTGAAACTAATTCACGTAAGTGAATGTCGAATAACTTAAGCTCTAAGTAGGTCCGTGTAATAAGTAAAAGATGTCTAAAAGTTATGTTATTAATTTTTATCAATAATAAGAGTTAATTCAATTTTAATTATAAAATAATAAATAAGAGTTTTTTGCCTTTTTATACCCTTGCAGAGGGTATTATAATTTTGGTCAAAAGTGTGCAACGCAGTGAACGAGACATCTCCGACCCTATAAAGTATATATATTCTTGATCAGGGTCACCTCCAGAGTTGATATGAGCATGTCAGTCTGTCCGTCTGTCTGTCCGTTTCTACGCGAACTAGTCTCTCAGTTTTGAAGCTATCGTCTTGAAACTTTGCACACACCCTTCTTTCCTTTGCACGCAGTATCGGCCGACTATATCCTATAGCTGCCATATAACTGAACGATCGGGAATTACCCAACTTTCGTGTATTTGAAGATAGAACTTGGTAGATAGCTGGAACTTGGTCAGTTAATCCGACCTACCAAATTTCATACCGATCGGCCGACTATATCTTATAGCTGCCATATAACTGAACGATCAGAAATGGTTTTTGGTTGAAATACCAACTTTGGTATTTTTGAAGATAGAAGCTTGAGACTTTTTTTAGATTTTGTATTGTAATAAATTGGATTATATATTCATATTCCCATAAGGATCGGCCCATAAGGATTGTCCGATCCTTATGATTACATCATTATAAAACCAATAAACTAAAATAAAAAATGTAAAAAAAGTCCCAAACTTCTATCTTCAAAAATACGAAAGTTGATATTTCTACCAAATACCATTTCCGATCAATGAGTTATATGGCAGCTATAGGATATAGTCGGCCGATCCGGGCCGTTCCGACTTATATACTGCGTGCAAAGGAAAGAAGGGTGTGTGCAAAGTTTCAAGTCGATAGCTTTAAAACTGAGAGACTAGTTCGCGTAGAAACAGACAGACAGACGGACAGACGGACATGCTCATATCAACTCAGGACGTGATCCTGATCAAGAATATATATACTTTATAGGGTCGGAGATGTCTCCTTCACTGCGTTGCACACTTTTGACCAAAATTATAATACCCTCTGCAAGGGTATAAAAATAAAGAGATACAATTTCTTGAAAACCAATAAAAATATTATTGTTTATATGAGTTGAATATGTTTAACAATGTATACTAGTTTTGTATACCGCGGATATTCCTACGAACGCACAACTAACAACGTCAACGTTTGCCGACAATACCGCTATCCTTAGTCGCTCCAGAATCTGGAGTCCAGATGCCCAACGCAAGCAACAAACCAACTGGATAACCATTTATTAGTAGTGGAAAGGTGGCTGTCCGATCAATTTAGCTAACGAAGTAAAGTACCTTGGCGTCCACCTTGATAGAAGACTAGACTGTTAGCTAAGTTAAAAATATAAGATTTGATACACCTCTCGCTAGTCTCGCAAAGAGAAGAGATTCAAAAAATAAATGCAGCGATTAAAAAAAAAAAGAGTCAAATTAAAATTAAGTATTAGATAGTTATTTCGAATGTACAGGACTGGTAAAGGAAAGGTTAGAAAATAAAGTTCATGGATTAGGTAAAATAAGGTTGTTGTTTAATTTATTTATAAATATTTATAAAATATATAAATATATATTATGTAACTTACTGTGTCATTATTTTCAACAATGCATAATAAAACAACGTCTTCTCTTTCAAGTTTTACAGCAGAATGGAGTGGATTCTTGCTTTTGTTTTTTAACATTTTAAACAGTAAAGGACCTGACATATGTTCAAAATCTTCACATGTTAAGTCATCCCAATGCGTTGATATTATACCAGAACAATGTTCTAACAACGTTGATGCTCCTATTTCTTCGGCAACACAATAAAATCGAACGCAAGATCTTATTCCGACTGAAGAGACTAGTGTTTTTTCACATAATCCCAAGAGAGTTGATAAACTAAATCGATGTGCTACTTTAATTAAGTCCAAACTTAAACGGTCATGATGCAAATCGACCTGATCTGTGTATATCCAACGTAAAAGAACCAAAACGATATCTTCCTCTATGTCACTCCAGTCAAGCTCTTGGATGCTGCATAACGCGGCATCTTGCCATTTTTCAGACCGTGCATGAAGGACAAATCTATGGGCTGGAACAATTTTCGACATGGTTCGAATGTTGATATCTGAATATGTATGACGCCCGTATAAGGAAGCAGCTGTCAACGAAAGTCTAGCCGAAAAACTTGAAGGCTCTCCTGGGTAATCATCACTTGCTTGCGTTGAAACAAGTTCATTGTACTTTCGTTCCAATTTAGAATAATTCTTTTGAAGCTTTATATATTCATCTTTTAATGGGAAGTGGTTCTCCAATTTTAATTCAGCAGCAATGCCGTTTCCACCTTCAAAAAAAAATTTAAATATAACCAATCAACTCATTTATAAACGTATCAAAGAAAAAAGTTCATTAAACATTTCAAACAAACTTACCCATTTTTTATTAAAGAGGTTTTAAATAATTTCAATTTACTAACGTAAATAACATCAACGCAAACACCACAGTATGTAGATACATGCATACATACATATGTATTTGTTTTTGCGGTAACAGCTGATTTGTTGTCTTGCTTATGAACTGGTTCCAAGAAGTTCATAACATACATATCGTTTAAATATCAGTACCTCAATTATGAGTTATTTTGCCATTCAGGCGACGCAAGTTAGTAAAATAAATTGAATCTTATTTATTTTATATTTTCAACTATTCGTATAATAAAACTAGTAAATAATTATCCAGGCATAAGGTGTTTGTACAAGGGAATTAAATTAGAAAGAAAAACAGGGGTACGGCTGAATTCTTTAGCGGAATGGATTCAGCTTAAAACAAATTGACTTAGGGGTTAAGCTTTCGTTTTTTTTTGTATATTTAGCTAAACCGTTTTTTTAGCTGATATTTGGGAACTTTTTCTTCGTCCCATCAAGGGATAGTTTTGATTTTTTTTACCATATTGAGCCAACTACAAAGCAATTTTTTTTAAGGGGACCCCCCCCATTCTCGATTTTAAATTTTGACGATTTTCAATGGGCTGGCAAATGAACATAAATTATTTTTTAGGGTTGTAACTGTGCTTACATATATTAAGACACAAAAAGGAAGAAAATCATTTCACAGAATTTTTTTTTGTTTTGTTTTTGTTGTTGTTTTTTGTGATCAAAGAAAAGCCCTTCTTTTCGGCGGCGCATGTGATTTCCGCTCACTGGAACATCTGAATCCAAAAATTCCAACGGGATTAGAAAAAGTACATGTTTGGCTCTCGTATGAACTAGGATTATTAACTTCGCTCAAAAATTAACAAAATGGTGGACCTTTGAAATTTTTTTTTGGAAATTTCCATTTTTTTCAGCCACAAATCGAGTTGAAAAGTAAGGAAGATCTTCACCGATTCGATTTATCCTAGTTCATACGAGAGCTATATATGTATAGAATAACGTGTTAAAATTTGGAACCGATTGGATTAATAGTTTTTGAGTAACCTCATGCGCCAGTCGTAAAAACACTGTTTCGAGAAAAACGCGTTTAAAGTTTTGAGATGGCTCTCGCCGTCGCCTGAGGCTTCCACCATAAATCGGCTATATCTTTAAGAGTTTTTGAAATTTTTACTTGAAATTTTCAGGGAACATTCTTGAATAGTTACAAGTTCGAATTAAATTAAAAAAAAAAAATCAATTTTTTAAAACCGAGAATGGGGGGGGGTCCCCTTAAGTGACAAATACATTATACACATTATAAATTTTCAAGCATTTTTCTGACCTGAAGCGATATGGGAAAAGTCCACACATTTTCTTAAATATTCCAAAAGTAAATAAAGTTAAATATTTTTGACCACATTTTTGCCGCAGCGCGGCCGGAACACTTTATCTTTTTCTTTAAAAACTAGACAGCCCAAACATAAAACAAATAATGTTTTCACTGAGAAAATGTTTTACAAAATTTGGTAGCAACAAGTTTTTTCTGTAGAAAGTTTATTTTTTTTTTAAATCTTAATTGATTTACAATTTGTCTGTAGAAACAATAATTAAATTGTATGATTAATATAAAATTAACACAAATAGCAGTTTTCCAATGAAGCCAGCATCAGTATACATATATATGTAACATCTTTTCAGTTGTTTGTTATACAAATGTACATATCTATCTGGGAGATCGAGTATGTGATATCTTTGCTGAGGGTATTATAACTTTGGTCAAAAGTGTGCAACACAGTGAAAGAGACATCTCCGACCCTATAAAGTATATATATTCTTGATCAGGATTACCTCCTGAGTTGATATGAGCATGTCCGTCTGTCTGTCTGTTTTTACGCGAACAAGTATCTCAGTTTAAAAGCATTCGACTTGAAACATGCACACACCCTTCTTTACCTAGTTTGGTTTTTTTAAAGATAGAAGCTTGGGACTTTTTTTTAGATTTTTTATTGTAATTAATTAATTTTATTGACAATATCATGTCATAAGAATCCGCCAACTATATCTGATGTTTGCGATATATGTATATCCAGTTTTAGCTGCAACGGTATATCAACTTCGGATCCGCCTGAAGATAGTTTTCCTTTCTTGTTTCATTATACTTATTGTTAAACTATTGTTACTAGATTTAAGGCTAAATTATTTTCGTGGTTTTGGAGTCTTTCGGTGTATTTCTTACTAATTTTATTTATTTCTTCTATTATAGTTGGGATATTAAGATCTTTGTGTATATTTGCATTAGATACGTACTAAGAAGCATTGACAATTTGTCGCAAAGTTTTTGATCGGTAATCTGTATATTACACTAGCTGACCCGGCAAGGGTTGTTTTGCCACCAGATGACTTTATAATTTCTGTACAAAATTTACTCAGTTCTAGATTTGTATTATATATGTATTATAAAGTCATCTGGAGCGTTGTGAAACCTGAAGGAATATAAAAATAACAAAAGGCAAACATTATTGTTTATGTATTATTTGATCGTAATTTATCAAGTCAATCTCTTACACAATCTCTTGTCAATCTTCTTACACTCAAACATAAACAAACTGAATGGTTTACCCACTCGAGAGCATGCCACGTATAATTGTCCGTGTGTAAGTTATCTTGACGTCGTTTGCTCGGTGGTAAGGGTGCTCCAGATCCGGCCGATGATGAGGTGGCACCGGCAGGGTGGTTGATGAGTAGTAGCGGTTCAAGATAGGTGCGAATTGGCGGCCGGGCTGCTGGTCCCAGGTGGCCGCTGATGGTGGGCCACCGGTAGGATGGTTGATGAAGTGTAAAATAAAGTTTATGTCGAGAGGGTGACTGCCCCCTATACTCCTGGCCTTAAGCTCAGTGGGCGAATGCAAATAACGGCGATAGCCGGAGTAAAGTTTTACGGAGCTAAGTGCTCTTTATTCAAATGATTATAAAACAGAACTGAGGAACTTAGCAGTAGGGTGCTTAGTCGGCAGGCCGACCGCATGACAGTGGGAAATGCTGACGATTGCAAAATGAGCATAACTCATTATACCGGGAACCAATGGGATCCAGGCCCCCAAAGGCGGGTATGCTGAGTCGGCAGTCGGATGAAAGTGCTGATCAAAAAGCTTACTCCCACGCCGACAGCGTTCCAGATGTCCGTTGATCCAGCCGACTTTACTTCGTTTTTGAGGGTTTGGATCGTTTCCAGGTTTTGGCTGTTCATCCTCTGAAGCATACTTGTTATGCCCGATAAAGTTTAGTAGGGGGGAGGCCGCCACCCCGCAGTCTTTCGTATGCTTTCGCGCCGGTGCAAGTATTTTGTGCAAAGGCTAATCGCTCAAATGTTATTAGATACGTGCCATTTGTTTCTATATTGGGGCCGTCATCCGTGCTGACTATTGCCGAACACTCATTGACTATCGTTATACCATCGTCTACCACCGTTATGGGGCTTATGTGGCTGGCCTGCGTTTCGCAATGCGCCGTGACCCTGCGTGTAGACCTCGGGTGCAAGTGTCCTGGGTTGCCATTTTGCAGAATGCTCCGTACATCGTCGACACGCAATCAGTGATCGCTAAGACTTCTTGGTTGCAATCAGCTACCACGTTGTCCGTAGTTGGAGAACGGTGTGTTGGTGAGAAACGGGAAAGACGGTAACCTTTTTACATTTAAATTTTATCTTAGGGTATGCAATGAGCACGTGGATAATATTGTCGGACTGAAGGACTTTAATATTAGATGCCTCTATTAGGCTGATAACGGGGACCTCTGTGGGATGATCAACTAAAACCGACTTCAAATCTTAATGGTTAAAAATGACAGGGCTTATGATATTTGATTTTGCAAGTGTGACCGTGAGCATCAGATTCTGTATCTCTGTAATTAGCATTCTATTTCTGGCCAAAAGAACTTCGTATAAATGGGGTGTGTCAACCAGGATATTCTTTTTTGCCTTAATGATTTCGTTGACAGCATCGGTTAGTTTGTTAATCTTCTTTTGCGTTTCGGTGTTAATAACTATTTGTCTATTGTTTGATTCAATTAACCGGGACTCGGACATTTTTGATATTTCGAGGTCAGCGGCATCAGGTGTGCCCGCTACCACTTTTATCGCGGTGCCTAAAAAGTCTGGGCTTCTGGCAATTCGGTACGGATAATATATTTCTAATATGATCAGTATCAACATCTAACAATTTTCGCATGTGGGATTGTGGGAAAAAAGCGGACAATCTAGCTGTTTCGTCTATCATAATTGAAAACTCTGTCAAATTGCTCGAATGCCTAAAGTAATTCCTATGTTCCCACACCAATGCACTATAGGCCGGACTCGGACTTTGTCTATAGATTCTATTTACTGCGGATATTCCTACGAACGACGATACCGCTATCCCTTGTTCTTCTTCCCCAATCCGAGTAAAAAATAAACTCGTTAATCATTTCAAAGCGCGCACAATCAAAAATCTTGAGAAAAGCCGTAAAATATGAAATCACGAACAAAAAATTTCTTACAAAGAAATTTTTTTTTAGATTTCTTACCCAAATTTTCTCGGACGGGGATTGACTCGGGTTTCCAGAGTGTAACTCTGTATCAGTCAATATGACTTTTGGTTAAGTTAAAAATTTAAGATTAAATACACCGCTTGTTAGTCTCGCAAAGAGTCAAAAAATAAAAACAAGCCATACAAAAAAATATTTTTTTAAAGAGATTTTATTTTATACAAAGCACCTTCAAGAAAAATATATAAAATGTTTAAATCTAACATGCTAAAATTACTTACCAATGCATTGCACGATAGTCCGCTGTGACCCTTTTTGAGTGCGTTCAATTGGTCAATTATAATTCTTTATTACTTTCATCATTCCTCATTTCTTTTATTTCATTTCCTTGAAAATAAACCTTAATAATTATATTAAAGTTGTGTTCAACGCTTTAAAAAGTTATGTGTCTGGAGTTCGTAATAAGGGGTTCATCACGACCGCATAGAATCTGTATAGATTCTTACTCTTCTTAATCGTAACTGTCGGGTCAGCCAGCAGCACGGCGTTTAATGTTGATGTTTAAATAATGCTAATGTAATGTTTAGTCTAATGTTTATATATTAGGCTT